AAATCGTTTCCAAGGGATCAGTGCTCCTTACTATAAGTTACCATGTAGGTCATATTGAGGTCTCATAGAGGCTCAATAGTATGGATCATATTGATGCCTAGTTAAAGCTTAATAGTGAGTTGTACTGAAATCACCGTAAAGCTCAATATTGTATAAGGAGCGTTGCTCCTAGTTTATAAGTCATCGAAAGTGTTGTAAAGGGTTGGATTGCACCATAAGTCAATCAACAAAGTGAAAAGACTTTGCTCGTTCCGAAGAGGTTGATAACGGAGGACGTAGATCATTACTTTGAATTGAACCTCCACAATTGCATTGTTTGTATCATCTCTCCCGTTTACTTATCGCTTTAATATTTGCGCTTATTATTTGAATTGATCTATTCAAATAATCTTGCTTACTTATCTCTTATTCATCGTTTGTATCATCTCTCCCTTTTACTTGCTTGAATTTAGATTAATTTTTCGAAAAAGTTTTTAAAAAATTAATTCACTCCCTCTTGATAAGTTATCATTGGGCTATCATTTTTATTATTATATGGAAATGAGAAGGATAAGGGAAACTATGGGAATCACTACCTTGTATGTGATAATTTCACACTATTGAACTAGATATACATAAATTCTATTTCAAATGAAAGTTTTCAAAAATCTTTTCAATTTTACAAAAATCTACAAAACTTTTAAAAAATTTTTTTTATAGAAATTTACAGAAGACTTCCACTAATTCCATACAAATCAATAAAAAATCATGAAATTCACATATGTCAGTATCTAAAAAAAAGTTTATCAAAATTTTAAAAAATCCAAATTGAATACAACATCCTTAGACCTGTTTGAGGCCCATATTTTTGTTGAGAGTGTATTTTTGAATAGTAAATTGATAAAAAATGTGTGATTAAAAAATAAGAAAAAATTTTAAATTTGCGTGTAATATTATTTTATTGAAAATATGTCCTTGAACAAAGAGAGAATGTAAAAAAAAAAATTGAGCTTACTTCTGAATCTAATAGAATTAGGGTTGTGCAAAATGTTCGAACCGAATCGAATCGAGCGGTTTTTCTTAAATGAAATACCCGAACGGGTATCCGAATCGAGAATCGAATGGTTTGGTTCGGTTCTCGGTTCTAGACCAAGAATCGAATAAGAATCGATTTTTTTTT